TTGTGGGGTCCCTCACTTGTTCCTCCGAAGGCGGTGCTAGGTACATGTTAATATTCATTGATGACTACTCAAGAAAATATATGCTAAAATGCAAAGATGAAGTGTTCAAGCATTTTAAGCAGTGGAAGACATTGATTGAGAAGCAGCCTCATAGAAAAATTAATAGGCTTAAAATTGATAATGGATTAGAATTTTGTTCTTCAGAGTTTGATGAATTCTACAAGGATGAAGGAATAGTTAGGCATCGAACCATGCGAGACACACCACAACAAAACGACATTGCATAACGAATGAATAATACTCTTATTGAGAGAGCTCATTGCATATTATTGAATGTTGGTTTGTCAAAAGACATTTGGGCTGAAGCAGTGTCTATGACGTGTTATTTGGTAAATCGCTCTCCATCCATATCCATTGATTGCAAGACACCGGAAAAGGTTTGGTCTGACCATCGTGCTGATTATTCTAATTTGAGAGTATTTGGTTATCTTGCATATGCACATGTAGATCAGGGTAAATTAGAACTTAGATCTAAAAATATATATTTTTATTGGTTATGCCGCTAGGTGGACGAATATAGGCTGTGGTACCTTGATCCTGAATCACCAAAATTTATGGTTGAGAAAAATGTAACATTTTGTGAGTGTGCTATGTTGCTTCTAAAAGAAGATACTATTGTTGTTCCTTCTGATACATGTACTACATATAAGAGTACCGAAGAGAAGGTAGAGTTAGAGACCGAATATGATAGTTCAACTCAATAACCAGTTATTAGTTTGCCTGAAAGTGATGAGGAAATAGAAATTAAAGCAGAGGATGATACTTATAGTATTGCAAAAGGTAGAGGAAAGAGAGTGATAAAGACACCTCAGAGATATGCAGATTCAGCCATTGTATATGCATTGTTAGTAGCTCAAGAGATAAGTGATGCAGGAGAACTGAGCAGTTTTTTAGAAGTTATTTCATCGCATGATTCAGCAAATTAGATGATTGCAATCACTTGGCTAAGCATCCAGTCTCAATTCAAAATCGAAGCATATTGAGGTTCGATATCACTTCATTAGAGAGATTGCTAAGGAAGGTAAAGTAGTCTTGAAGAAGATTGCCATCAAGAATAATCTGGTAGATATGTTGATGAAACCATTACCGGTAGCCAAGTTGAAGCTTTGCTTGGACTTGCTTCATATCAAAGAATGTTGAGGTGTCATAGGGCGCATTTGCAGAGGTGTTGGCAGTACACTATTAAGAAAGTTGAGAACTCATTCGGGTTGTTGAGTCAATGTGGAAATTTATTGAAATTATGTCTCAAAACCCTAGGTTTGTTCAATTCAACCAATGGATCATCGATGGTCAAGAGGACACCATTGATGGTCACTTCAATCATCGATGGTTTATAGTAAACAATCGGAGAAAAATAGAAGCAGGATTTTGAACCATCAAAGGACTACATGGAACCATTGATGGACTGCAAGAGCTTATCGATGGTCGTGTTTGACCATCAATGGTTATGACGCTGATTGCAGTTTTGATGATTTAATTTCAGTTGTTTGTTTTTTCTTTTGATCTCCACCTTCTACTAAGTTTTGGACACATCTTTCCTGATCTATTGTGTTCTCCTATATATTAAAATAGAGAGCATTTAGATTAGGGTTGGATCATGAGAATAGGAGAGTTTGAGGGTTTAGGCTATTGCCTTGTTCTTGCACTTCTTTCTCTTTTGATAGTGGAATTTCTCCGACGCCTCTGCCATGAATGTAAACCAAATTAGGTGAGCCACGTACATCTCTGTATTTACGATTACTTGTTATTTATTCTTATGCTTGTTCTTCATAATTATTTTCGCTTTATTGTACACATATTATATCCGTATCCGTATCCGAGATGAGTAAGCAGATATGAATATGGTAAGCATCATATCCGAGCCGTATCCGGACCGAATGCACCCCTAATCCAGTCTCAATTCAAAATCGAAGCATATTGAGGTTCGATATCACTTCATTAGAGAGATTGCTAAGGAAGGTAAAGTAGTCTTGAAGAAGATTGTCATCAAGAATAATCTGGTAGATATGTTGATGAAGCCATTACCGATAGCCAAGTTGAAGCTTTGCTTGGACTTTCTTCATGTCAAAGAATGTTGAGGTGCCATAAGGCGCATTTGCAGAGGTGTTGGCAGTACACTATTAAGAAAGATGAGAACTCATTCGGGTTGTTGAGTCAATGTGGAAATTTATTGAAATTGTGTCTCAAAACCCTAGGTTTGTTCAATTCAACCAATGGATCATCGATGGTCAAGAGGACACCATTGATGGTCACTTCAATCATCGATGGTTTATAGTAAACAATCGGAGAAAAATAGAAGCAGGATTTTGAACCATCGAAAGACTACATGGAACCATCGATGGACTGCAAGAGGTAATCGATGGTTGTGTTTGACCATCAATGGTTATGACGCTGATTGCAGTTTTAATGATTTAATCTCAGTTGTTTGTTTTTTCTTTTGATCTCCGCCTTCTACTAAGTTTTGGACACATCTTTGCTGATCTATTGTGGTCTCCTATATATTAAAATAGAGAGCGTTTAGATTAGGGTTGGATCATGATAATAGGAGAGTTTGAGGGTTTAGGCTATTGCCTTGTTCTTGCACTTTTTTCTCTTTTGATAGTAGAATTTCTCCGACTCCTCTGCCGTGAATGTAAACCAAATTGGGTGAGCCACGTTAATCTTTGTGTTTGCGATTACTTGTTATTTATTCTTATACTTGTTCTTCAAAATTATTTTCGCTTTATTGTGCACATATTATAACATAAACAATATAATATTGTAGATTCTCATTCATTAAATATCTCTCAGTAACAATTGCTCCTCTTATATAAGGATACAACAACTAGAAGTTTTATGTGCTGGCAATGTGTGACTTAATACAATTACATTATCACAATTATTCTACCAATCACATTCCTAATATCTCTCGGTCATTAAATCTCCACTCCTAATATATCTTGCCTAATATTATTTATTTTCCAAATTACTTCTAACAATTCGTTGCTTGTTTATATCTAGAACTAAAACAAAAAACAGATGGTAACGTTCTACAGTGGACAACCCATACAAATGGCAAACTCTGTGTCTTTTAACCGACTCATCTTTCAAGGCCAATGTTTGTGGAAGTTGTACAAACTGATGTTTGGAGTTGACCTTCAATTTTTCGTCTTACCGAAGCTGATAACAAGCTTATGGGCCTGTTACTTTCTCCGCTAGCTGTCTGAAATCGCCAATAAATTTTGGGTGGTTGGTTTCCTCTTCTTCTTTCTCAGAATATAGCTTTGCTCGTCCATCAATACACGTGAAGGTGGTTGCTTTCTTTATCAAAAGTTTCAAAAACAAAAAACAAAAAATAAATAAATAAAAAAATAAATAAAATGAAACCATTTTGGTTTTTTACTTTGGTGTTTTGCATATATACACCACAAAGCTATCATATTTGCTGATTTGGCTCCCAAAATATGCATATTTGCTAAGTTATACCCACATTCTCCCACATTTTGATTTTCATACCCTTCTTATCTAAATCCATTAGAGTTCATAGGGGTAAACTAACAAATCTGCAAGTTTTGGGCTTTTTTGTTAGGGATTTTTTTTTTTTTTTGGGTTGGGGGGGGGGGGGGGGGGGGGGAAACAA